TTTACGTCTAGTTGACTCAGATTAAAATCTACCCATATGCTGTCAGGGCTCTCGGACAACAAATTAGGGAGCGTACTAATTTGCCAAGACAACATCCTTATCGAGATCGAGTGAATAATGAAAATATCAGGCAAATTGTGGGAACGACACCTTGTACTAGATTCATCGACAAACAGCAGATCAAGTGGTTTGGCCATCTGGTTAGTATGCAGCAAGATCAAATACCATCACAAGCACTACATCTCAGAAGATCAACGGCAAGAGCAAGAGGACGGCCGCGGAAAACATGGATCGACAACATTAAAGACGCTCTACGCCTTCACGACATGACAATAGCCAGTGGCAGCCAAAGTGCACTAGATCGCAAATTATTCCTCCCCACGGCGCTTAACGACAGAAGTGGTTTATGATGATGATGATGAATATCCTTATCCCCACTGGACTGCAGGGTGCATCATCACTCAAGAAACAGTGTTCAGTTCTAGTCTAACTTAGATTAACATGCAGCTGTGCTCGTGGACCTTCAGACAACACATTACCGAGCGCACTAATTCGCCAAGACGACATCCTCATCCCCATTGGACTGCAGGGTGCATAATCCCATACGAAATAGTGTTCAGTTCCAATCTAGCTTAGATGAACATGCAACTATTGCCGTGAACCTTCTGACAACAAATTACCGAGCGAGCTAATTCGCCAAGACGATATCATTATACCCATTGGACTGCAGAGTGCATAATCCCATACGAAATAGTGTTCAGTTTCAGTCTAACTTAGATTACCATGCAACTATTGCCGTGGACCTTTGGACAACAAATTACCGAGCGTACTAATTCGAAGACGATGTCCTTTCCCGCATGGGACTGCAGTTTGCACTCTGCTGGTGTAGCCATTATGTGTGCCTTAATTATAACTTTGTTAAAAGTCGAGAAAATTGACATTATTGCACCCATATCTCCCCCCCCCCCTTTTTTTTCTCCCCCCCCCCCCCCACATGACTTTCTTCGACAGAAGGTCTAGCCATCTGACGATGACGTTGCAGAAAGCATGAATTTGGTAGCTCTAAAGACAGTATCTATCTTTCTGGGTAAAAACACATTTTAAAATTGCGCTCTTGAATGACACAATTCGTGAAAGTAACTCAAACGCCAGGCAAACAGGTTAACAACTACGCCAAGGGTTTCGAAATCCATGTTGTTAGGTAATGATCACAAAGTCTGTTCTAGGCAGCACAAGAAGTGGATCTGATCAGATTTAGAAACACTTATCTCATTTATCAAGTTGCAACTTGTCTTGCGTATTTGGCAGACGTCTGCAGTTCACATGTAATGCTGTACGCATAACTACTTTCTTTATTGTGGTTTAATAGCAGCTATATGGTTTTTGAAAACAAAGGTTAAGAATACCATGGAATGACCGAAAAACTGCCAAAGACGTTTTCTCCGAGACAGATGAAACCCCTAGTTGTTATGAAAAAAGAATGGACTCAAGAATGGTTACAACTGGCCAGGTTGATGGAACAAGAGAAAAGTAAAGGGAAAGACAAAGAAGACAAGCCAGGATATGATGGCTTGGCCATGTGGGTGGGGCATGACAAAAATCACTGACCTGATCCATTGTTGTGGTGATCCAGTGCAATTACAAAACATGACCACCTACGTTTCTTGGTAGGGCAATTCTTCAAATGATGATACAGACTGTCTGTGGAGCCGCGGTGTCGAAGTGGCTAGCAGGCATGCTTGCCGGTGTGGTGGTGTTAGTTTCAAAACCCCTCCAGATTAATGGCGTTTCAAAACTGACATAATCTGATAAAGCCTACATTGCTTACCAGAAATGTTAGGGAAAGTAAAGACAGTAGAGTTCGGTTGACCATATTCTCAATCAAGTAGCTAATTAATCGATAAAAGCATAGTTCTAGCAGTGAACGTCTGATGCCCTAATGATTTGGTTTTAAGGTGAAAAAACTTCAGTATAACAGCTACCGTTATTTTCTTGTAGAAATTCAACTTCCCATTTTTTTCTTCTTTCGTCGTCCTACTGATACCAGTTGTAGTTCAGTGTCGTGGTTTTCTTATTCGTCTTGCGCTTCTCGAATGGCTTGGGTGATTTCTTTATTTATCTTTCAGTAGGTTTCAGCTACACCATTTATCCATATCTTTCTTGGTCCCCCCCCCCCTCCCCCCCCCACCTGCCTCATAGACGTTCTGATGCAAACAGACTCATATGCAGTTAGGTCTGGCTGCATTTTAACTAGCTGGTTGAACCATTTCATTCTTTGTCTGTCAGTATAATCCAGACATGGTCTTATTAAATTTTTTTTCTCTAATACTGGTATAAGTAATTCTATCCCTTCTTGTTTTGTTAGTTACCGTGCAGAGACAGTGCATTTCACATTTAATTATCTTATGTTCTAGTTCCTTATTCATTGTCCCTGTTTGGCACTGATAGTAAATCAAATACTTCCACATTATATTGGACGGTATTATATAGCTGGCAAAGCCGTTGATGGAGATAAAAAAAAGTTAAGAGAAGGAAACTTGCTCCTATGAAAGCCAACGTCTTACTAGTTTTCCTATTGTATTAGAAGCAAAGCCTAAAGGGAATAATGTATAAGAGGAAAGAGAGACAATAATATGAAGGATAACAGGGCAATCTACTCCCTAAACCTTATCTTGACTTAAAACCTACACGACATACATAGGCGTGGTGAGTGGAAGCAACCTACACTTAGGCTGCCTCAATAACAAACAAACAAAAAAGTTCGCTAGGCGGAAGCTAAAGCCAAAATAGGCTTAACCCAGACAGAAAATGTTTTGTAAAGTCTAAATAGCAGAATCAGTAAAACAAGGCACACTAACTACATGTCCTAATCCGAATTAAACAGATGGAACAAAACTTATTATATTCAACATCTGTTTATTTTACTGAATACAAAACTAAGCGCTTTTCACAAATAACAGAACAGCAACAGCCATCAAGGTGCCAAGCAGCTCACTAATACAAAAAATATCTCCAAGCAATGAGGCCCACTAATATATCTCTGCACAGTTTAACGAATAAAGTCAAATTCTGATTTATTTATGGAACCATACTACCGCCATGAAGTTAGCCATCTCTGTTGGCTCGATCTTACATATCTGCACTGCGTTGAGACCATGTGCAGTCAAGCAATAGCAGCCTGGGCGTTTTACCATAGTAAGCCAACCGGTAGAGCCAAAAAAAAAAAAAAAAGCGTCCCTCGGGGTCTCGATCTGATATTAACTGACTAGGTTTCTTCGCATGTGCAGTCAAACTGAAATCAATAGCTGCTGCAGTCAGGTTACACTAATTATACCTAAAGGCCTAAAAAACTCACATGTTCCATTTATAGACACTTGTCTTGTTAAAAACTAACAACTCGCCAGTCTGTCCAATATGCCTTATTGTTCGTTTAAATATAATCATCAGCGCACATCGGGCATAATCATAAGTGCTCCGATCTCCTCCTGAGTTTGTCTTTAAGCGTTTAAGGCTGAAAACTCCCATTATGTTCTGTCTGTTTTCTCGCTACACCAACTGGTACACTCACGGTATGCAGGGTTTGTTCAGTGAACAACAATTTTCCATGAAGTTGACAACCTCACAGCTCCCAGTTGTCTTAAAGTAGGAAAAGACATTTTACATTCTTGGTTAAAGTCAAATACTTACTACTTTTTATAATTATACTTTGAAGTATCATTAGAGTGAAACATGATGAAATGATAACATTGTTGAAGGATATTAACAGCGATAGAAAAGATGTCAGAATAATACACAATTTTTACTGGAAGCAAGAAGCAGCAATTACATTGGGAAATAAAGTAGTCAGTTATGAACAGATAAAGCCAGGAGTGAAACAAGGATGTGTTTTGTCACCGGATCTCTTCTCTCTCTATACTGAAGTAATAATGAAAAAGGTCAAAGATAGACCAGAAATACTAGTTGGAGGTTGTAATATAAACAATCTTCGTTATGCAGATGATACAGTATTAATAGCAGAAAATACAGAAGACCTACAACAACTATTAGACATTGTTCTACCAGAGAGTGTATAAAACGAACTCTCTTTGAATATCAAGAAAGCAGAAACGATGGTTATATCAAAGAATAGGATAATCCAAAATGTTTCATAGAAATGGAGGGGAAAGTGCTTAACCAAGTCAATAAATTCAAGTATTTGGGAACATTCATAACATCAGATGGACGATGTGTCACAGAAATTAGAAGCAGAATTGGCCAGGCAAAGACAGCTTTTCAGAAGGTGAGAAGTATTTTATGTAATAAATCACTCTCATTAAAGATCAGAAAACGAGTATCGAAATGTTATATCGAGCCTGTTCGGTTGTATGGTAGTGAATCTTGGAACGTGAGAAAACAAATTAAGAAGAGTTTGGAGGCAACTGCGATGTGGTTCTTGGGAAGAATGTTGAGAATACATTGGACTGCCAGAATAACCAACATTAAATGCCTGGAAATGGCGAATGAATGTAGAACATTATATACAACAATGAGGAGACAAAGTTCATTGGTCATGTGATGAGAAAAGGAGCACTGGAAAATATCGAAACGACTTGAAAGATCACTGGTAGAAGAGGCAGACCAAGAGAAACGATGGTGGATGGCATAAGACATTGGCATAAAGGAATATTACCAGTAGAATGTATCCAGTGACCAAAGACCGAGATTTGTGACGAAGCCTGAACGACTAAGCCAGTTGGCAAGGCACTTGATGATGACGACCCCAAGGTACGAAACACTGACATGTTACAGTTGCAGTCACTTTCTTGTTAAACCAAATACTTTATAAAATTGTTATACCCCTTCCATTCTGCCAGGATTAAAACCGTGTAATAAGAATCACACAGGAACAAATTTTAGAAAACTAGTTCAACAGTATAACACATTTATATTGGGGAGCCCGACGGTTAACGGAGTAACCTGTAGTCTAGTGAGGATAGATGATATACCAATCAAATACTTACCAGTTTTGCCCACACTCTCAGCACCAAGGATCATAATCCTGTACTCCTCGTCATACACAGAGCAGTCACTCTCGGAACGGAGTCTTTCTCTGCTTCTGTTATTGCCTCGCCACATTGTCCCTCCGCCGATCTGAAACCTGTTGAAATAATATAGACTGTAATAGAGCAACGCCATTTAACGAAGTCAGAAACTTTTCCAATTCATCGTTTTTCAGCGTCTCGAGGGAATGCGCTTGATGAATTTAATTTGGAACTGAATTTTGGTCAGAACCCAGACTAAACACATCGGAAAACTAGCGCATCATAAATTTGAATTCTCACAGCAAACCAAAAACCGAGTTTTAAAAACAAAAGTCTACGGAGTTGTGGCTACTTTTACAAGATGAATTCAAAGTTTTGTCTGGGAAAACAAAATTATTACAGCTGCCTTCCTGTAAAGTTGTATTCTTTGCTTCAACGGCTAACGAACTATATACAGTTACAAATAATAAAGTTGCCACTAAACCCATTGGCAAATCTAAATAAATATAAATGTTAATGTTCGTTTGTAGCTAGCTAATCGATAATATTTAAAGGTTCTTCACCAATTGCTTTGAAATTTTCACACAATGTTGAACTCGAATGCACGCTTTAAAAAAAAAAAAAAGAGGGGGTTTCACAAAAACCACGAAAATCATAGCTCCGGCAACGATCACATCGGCAAATGTGGCTTATTTTTCGACGATCTGATTTATTTTTTTTTTCGTTGTCCCGTTCCCGGCGCTGGTTTTTCTTACCACTGTTGACCTCATAAATCTGCATGAAGCTGTATGTCGAAAGTTCTTCACTGATTGCTTTGAAATGTAAACATTAAGTTGCATTCGAATACGCGCAATATTTTTGTAATAAGCGTGTCGCAGAAAGCAATAACTTCATAGCTCCGTTGACTATCACATCGGCATCTTGGTTTCGTTTCCAATTTCTTTTCCGTTGCCGCGTTCCCAGTGCGGATTTTTATTTCTGCTGGTAGGCGAACTTTGTTGACCTCAGAAATCTGCCTGAAGCTGTATGAGATAATAAATTATTTCGTTATGGCGACCAATAGTTGTTGAAAAACTGCTGGAAATGTAAAGATATGGGAGGGAAACCAAGTTGGAATTAAAGGTTGTGGAAATAAAAAGAGAGTTGTCGAAAGACTGTAAAAGATGGATGAGATATGAGAATGAAAAATTACTTATTAGGGCTATACTTCGAACGGCATCATAAAATGGCGGCCATAATATGATGCCACATTCTGGCCATAAAATATCCAAAAATATCCGAACGGTGTTCAGGCATATATAAAATACGGACTTTCTGCCAAGGAACAAATCGCGGCAAAACTAGGATTACTTGACAATCAATATCAACATTGCACACGGTAGTTTAAAAAACAAGTAAAGATCCCTTTTCACGCCTTTCGGCGCAACGGGCAGATGGGCAGAGCGTCCCATATTTCCCATATTTTTACAGACCATCAGCACTCTGTGGGTAATGTGGTCAGCATTACGCCGGCTGTCTTTACTTTCCCAGGACAGCCCATCCTCGTACCCATTTTAGGCTGGGTCGACCTGCGACGTCCCATACCATAATAAAAATCCGCGCTGCCTGTAGTGGGTTTCGATCGCGGTATGCTGGCTTACGAGTCGGACTCGCAACGCCTTAGCCACGGACGCCGCAGAAGACGATAAATACCGACCGTTGACAATTTCGAGCGTTTCTGCAGAAGATACTAGCAGACGATTGACAATTTCGAAACATTACAGACGATGAAAAAGCAATACTGTTCTTCCGATTGGAGGATATAGCAGCGGTAGATATCAGACTTGTCGGCACGGATGGGGGGCTAAACTAGGTGCCTGGGACTCTGGAGTAAAGTAATTGGAGGAAGTTGCAGGAGATGCGGTAGCTGCTGCGGTCGGCGGTGAGGCACACTCGCAGAAGCAGGTCCGCAAGTAACATATCGCTGAGACCCTGTTAGAGCATTTGTTTCGTTATACGGAGCCGGCATATTTTTAATAGAAATGAGCCCTATTCGGATATTTTTGGATATTTTATGGCCAAAATGTGGCCAATTTGGCTCTGCTTCGAACGGCATCATATTGTGGCCGCCATTTTATGATGCTGTTCGAAGGCGAGCACTTATTTGTGAGGCCTACCATTACAGCATTCCGGACAATCCACATGGTCTTAGATCTTTGTCTCGATAGCTCCACAAGCGCAAAAATCACCAATGAAGCCTCTTAAAAAAAGTAAAGTAAAGATCCCTTTTCATGCTTTTCGGCGCATCGGGCATATGGGCAGAGCGTCCCATATTTTTACAGACCATCAGCACTCTGTGGGTAATGTGGTCAGCATTACGCCGGCTGTCTTTACTTTCCCAGGACAGCACATCCTGGTACCCATTTTAGGCTGGGTCGACCTGCGACGTCCCATACCACGATAAAAATCCACGCAGCCTACAGTGGGTTTCGATCGCGGTATGCTGGCTCACGAGTCGGACTCGCAACGCCTTAGCCACGGACGCCGCATGAAGCCTCTTATGTGGTGATTAATTAGACGACTCGTGCCCTTGGTGAAATATTATTGTCTGGCTGCTCCAGACTGCCATCCCATATAAATCACCCACGTCACGATCTTCTTTGCGATTTGCGTCTCACCTGACATTAATTACATCACAACTGCACTTGTTGGTGAAGTCACAGAAACCGCCTTGCCCGCAAGATTCATCTGCTCTTAGTAGCAGCTGTGGTAGTTGTAACAGATTAGTAGTAGTTGTTGTTGTTGTTGGCCGAGTGGTTTAAACGTCCGGTTGTCATTCGGGAGTCCGGGTTCGATCCCCGGTAAGGTAATATTTTTCTGTCGGGGGCGATATTAAATGTCCTAATTTGAACAGTCCGTGGCGACAGAATTAGCAGAGGTAATGTTCAATCTTGGCTCCATACTGCATACGTAACGATGCAACTTTCATTAGCTAAACAAAATGGCGGGTTTATTGTCGTCTGCTAACGCCGCGTCGTTACAGCTTTGACAGATCATTGATGAATGGCGCCTGTTTGGTTGATATATTTAGCTATATGGATGACTACTTTTTTGAAAACCGCAATAAAATCTGCCTTATTACTGATTTGTCACACTGTTGTTGTTCGTCCATCACATGTGATTATGACCAGTTCTTTCATTCACTGGTCAGTGGATTAGGTTTTGTAAGTGCGCAGATGGCTGATGGCAGTGCCAGGACACACCCACCCCTAAGAGCAAAAATACGCCCCTGACTGCCATGACACAGAATGCCAAGACACACACTTGAGTGTCAGGACACACCCCTGAGTGCCAGGAGATATCCCTGAGTGCCAGGACACACCACAGAGTGTCAGGACACACACCCCTAAGTGTCAGGACACACACTCCTAAGTGCCATGACACACCCCTAAGTGACAGAACACATCCCTGAGTGCCAAGACACACCCCTGAAGTGACAGAACGCACCCTTGAGTGGCAGGACACACCCCTGATTGGCAGGAGACACCCCTGATTGGCAGGACACACCCCAGGCACATAGTGCTAGATCTATATTTTATAGACCAATCGGCACTCTTTAGGTGATAAATTCACCAACGCACCGGCCGCTTTTACTTCCTAGAAATTGTATCTTTTATATATTTAAAGCTGGGTCGACTTGGGAGTCAAGGTAATTTCTTTAAAAAAAGTGTTCAGCCCCGTTCGGATTGAACTCATAACCTTCAAATCCTAACAAGCTGGGGTGCAGATGCCAACACTGTACGACAAGTATACACTGGATACGTACGACCAAAACTGGAGTATAACATGGGAGCATACTCCACTGCAGCCAAAACAAACCTACACAAACTGGATAAAATATAGAACACTGGTCTCAGAATCATCACTGGAGGTATGAGAAGCACACCAATTAATGAGCTGGTAGCAACTTGTGGCCTCCAGAGCATGAGCCTTCGAAGGGAAGAAAAGGTGCTTATCCTAACAGAAAAATTTAAACGCATGAACAACCACCACATGCACAGAATAGCAAATAACTTAACAAGAAACCGACTCAAAAGACAAAGCTTTCACCATTTATCAAAACTGTACTAAAAAAAAAAAAACAGTGACATCCTTTTTAAAGATGCTTCAACATGGGAAATGATCCAGTCATACAACATAGACATACAGCCTAAATATACAGTCACAACAACAATTCCAGGCATAGACAGAAAGGCTAAAGAATGTGACCTAGTACTGCGTGCAGAGACCCTTGAACAAGTCTGCAACAGTTATCCAAAACCCGAATGGACACACTTATACACCGATGGATCATTGGAGGGAGCAGACAAAAACGGAGGAGCTGGATCGGTCATCATGCTGCAAGATGGGACCACAGTAGAAACATCATGCGCCTCCGTAAGACTCTCAACAAACTTCAGAGCAGAGCAGCAAGCAATGATTGATTTAGCCAAAGTGCTCGGGGAAAGAAAAATTAAAAACAGCAAAATTGTTTTCCTTTGTGACTGCATGTCAGTCCTCCAGGCGATTCATAGGGATCCGCGAGATGGCATGGAGAGAGAGCTGACCCGTCAGCTAAACAGACTCACAGAAAACAATCAAATCGTTCTCCAGTGGATCCTGGCTCACTGCGGCATACCAGGAAATGAGCTAGCCGACAAACTTGCAAAAAATGGAACAAAGAAGAAACAACACGTCCATTCATTGTCATTACCAGAAATCAGAACACTTATCAAAGGAAAATACCAAGGATTGTGGAGAGAACAAACTAACAGTAAACATTCACAAGACCCCATCAGCAGACTCAACAGAAAGCAACATACAACAATTTTCCGTCTATGAACAGGACACTGCAGGCTCAACTACCACATGCATAAAATAAAGATTGTGCAGTCCCGACAGTGTGCCTGTCAGACAGGACCACAAACACCTCAGCACATTCTGCAGACCTGCCCACTCTACCTACAACTTCGAAAAGACACCTGGCCTCAAGAGCAAAGTGTGCAGAGCAAGCTATGGGGAACCATGCAGGACCTGCAGCTGATATGCGAGTTTATAGAGGCAACCCACCTGATG